TTTTGTGTGGGGTTTGTTTTAACGACCATCTTTTAGTTAGAGTACAACAAATAATATAAAAATTAAAATAAAAAAAACAGATCTAACCTTGTGAAATTGCCATTCTTTTTTTTTTGCTATCTCAAGATCTTTTTTTTAAAAAACAATTTACGGAAAAATACAAAAAGAAACTAAATATAAAAACCACTACTAACACTAACACTAACACTAATACTAGTCATTTGCCGGATAATTTTTAGGCAGATAATAATATACCAAAAAAAGATTACAATAAAATTTCCAAGTATTTTTATTGGACTATTAAATTGATGAAAATCATCTCTTTCTTCATGGTAAATATTTCTTTTTGAAATTGTATCTTTATGAATCCTATACAGAATATCAATTAACATCAAAATAAAACTTCAATTCAATTAAACAAGTATCGAAATATAATAAATACGTTTTTTAGTAGAACTACTACTCGGTAAGAAATGTGAAATAGATGCAAGATTTCTCTGCATATGAAATGAAATATCTTCTAATTTTTTTGATTTTTTAGAAATTCAACTTTTGTAATTTCAAAATATCAAGGGAAAATAGATAATAGTGTAATAAAATACGGCGTAGCATTATATGCAACTGAAGCTGCAGAACATAATAATGTAAAATTACCGACACCAGGAAAAAATGAAAGAGACAATCCAAAAATTTCAAATTTAGTAGAACAAATTGCATCATTATCTTTAATCGAAACATCAGAACTTGTCAAATCATTAAAAGTAATTTTAATAATTTATTAATAATAATGAAAGAAAGAGACACTGTTTTTAATCTAATTTTTGAATTGGAATTTCAGATAAAGTTGAACATTCAAGACGTTGCATTACCTGCAGTAAATTTTGCTTCAATGGCAACAGCTGCACCTACAGATGCAACATCTACACCTGTAGAAGTATTTAATTGATTGAATTAATTAATCATTATCAAAATAAAAATTGATTGTTATTTTGATTTAATAAACTAATAAAATTTCGATTATTAGGAAGAAAAGGCTCCCGAGAAAGCAGAATTCACATTAAAATTAGAAAAATTTGATCCTGCTTCTAAAACAAAGATAATTCGTGAAATCAAAAATATTATACCTGGAACAAACCTTGTAGAGGTAATACATAAATAAATGTTTATACACATTACGTGTTTCTCACTCTTGACAAAAAATTTTTTTTCTTTAGGCAAAAAAATTTGTAGAAAGTGTTCCCAAGGTCATTAAAGAAAATGTGAATAAAGAAGAGGCAGAAAAAATTAAAAAGACGTTAGAGGGGCTTGGTGCAACTGTTTTAATGGAATAAATATCATTAATTAATAGATCACTCACTAGCTATGGACAAATAATTATAATTCATTTTTATTACAATCACATAAATTGAAGAAATCTTTTATATCTTTTCAAGCAAAAAAAATCAAATTTTATTTATCACCCTAATCCAGCATGCTTAAATATAATTATTCTTTATAATATTTATTTATCATCCTATGTTCCAAAGACCCACCCATCATCAACCCACTTAAATATATATACACAAAAGAATTTTCATTACCCCACTTTAACGGGGCACCCACACAGAAACCTTTAGTAAAAGGTGAAAGGTTTATAAGATCTGCGAGTAATGACAAGCTGTCTATTGATAAAAACATCGTGCCTATTTATAGTGCCTAATGATATTATTGGATTTTAAAAATCCTTTTTTATTGGATAAAATGATGTTATGAAAATCTGGATTAATAGACTTCGAAATTTTTTTACAGGCATTCGAGTTATTTTAAAAAGCATTGATTTACAGATTTTAGTATAATAGAAAAAAATTTTTTCCACGAGTTTCTGTATGATATCATACCGAATAATATTCATGACATCATAATTCATTCATAAAAACAGTTTCTTAAAAAATAATTAATATGTACGCCTAAAATAAATTTTTTGTTTATAAATCGATTTCCCACTCGCACTATACACAAATTTCTCAATTAACAGAAATCATTATTACTAATATAAATTAAAATGATTGCTGCTGATGCAAACACAAATTCTCTTCCACAATTAACCACTTATCCATCATCACAAAAAGTCTATCCAACTTCTCGTCAAATTCTAAGGATATTTTTGATTCAAACAGCTTTGGGTCTTTTTAATACTTCAGGCGGTTACAAAGCAAACCATTATCTATTATCTTCTTTATCATCTCAAGGACATGCTTGTATATCTCTCGTACTTTGTTGGAAGAATGATATTTTGGCTGCTGGTGTCAATTATATTGAAGAAAAAGTATGCTTCGATTTGGAAAAAGATAAAGTCCGTGTCTATCGATTTATTTGGGGTAATGTAGGGATGATAGGTCTCGAGTTGGAAGACTATCTTAAAATATTTCCAAGAAGTTCCATATCTAATCCGCTTGAAGATGTCAATTCTCGAATGAAACGATGGTTGGAGGTATGATATATATATATACTGTATATATATGTATTATTTATTGCATATTATTTATCTATTTCGCTTATTTAACATGTAAAAGGATAAAGAATCCGCTGCAGAATATAATTTTTATCTTCATTTTATAAAAAAAGAAATCATGACTTTTCGTGCAACTCATTTCATATTCAATGATTCTGTCGCTTTAAAGATTGCTTCTACTTTACCTTCTTCAATAACTCGTATATTTATTTGCCATGCGTGTGAGCATTTATCATTTGGCCCATATGGCGGTGTTCCAGGATTCGGCAGCACTTGTTCTCCCATGGAACACAAATGGCTTAAAGAAATTGAAGGTGTATGGTCCGTTAGTCGTGCTGTTAAAAGATATATTGACATTTATGGCGAAGGAATTAGTTCAACATATCTTCCTTTACATCCAGAAACATACGGCCAACCACCCTTCAAGAGATATTACAATTTTGATGCTCCCTACGTTATCATCATTAATCCTGGGGCCATTAAAGGTTACACTATCTTCAAAGAAATTGTTGAAAAAATGAGAGATGTTCAATTCGCAGCTGTTAAAAGTTGGAGCGTAAATGATTATCTATTAAACGAAATGAAAAAATTGGATAATGTCACGTAAGTTTATATATAATAAATTTAATAAAGAAAAATAATTTTATAATCTTAACATCAGCTTATTTTATTTCATTTTTTTATTAATAGGATCTTTCAAATGTTTGAAAATATGGAAGAATTGTGGCCAAAAGTCAAAGTACTTCTCGTACCTTCTATTTGGTAAATAGAAAAAAAATTTTTTTTTCTTTATTGAATGAATGTTTATTTTAAAATTATTTTTAAATATGTTAGGTATGAAGCATTTGGTCTTGTTGTTGTGGAGGCGATGTTACGCGGAATACCAGTTATTTGTTCTGATGCGGGGGGTTTGCCCGAAGCAAAATGTGGGGTTGAATTTGGAACTATTCATGTTAATGTAACAAATGGTGAAAGAGAAACTGATCCGAATGCCATAAAAAAGATGGGCATATACAAAATACCTCAACAAGATGTTGAGCCATGGATTCGATCATTAAGATATTTGATTAATGACCGAGAAACGTATGAAAGATTTAGTCAAGAATGTTGTGACAAAGCTAATGTAACTATTGAAAATATTGATGTTGGAATTTATAAGAGATGGTTGTTAGACATAAGGAAGAATCAATTGTTAAATTTAGATAACCTACAGAAAAACGATAAAATTTCACCTACTGTCATAAACAACGTGGATAACATTAACAATATTGGTGTTATTGTTGATACTATTTCATCAACAGTATGAAATAAAAACTAATTGTTTTTTATTTTGCAATAAAAAAAGGATTATTAATAATTTATAGCTAGTGTTGTGTTAAAACGTCAAGGAAATAAGTTTCTGTCTATATTTGACTGTGGCTTCATAGAAGTCATTGTCGCTGGCTGTTGCTGTTGCGCCAATTAGACACACAGCAGCAGTTAATTTTTCATGCTATCCTTTCTATATTAAATTGATCTGGACTTCTTCTATTATTAGAGAACTCATAAAAAATATTGTAGCAACATTATCGTAACGATTTCCGGTGTGTCTTAGTTACAGACTTTGATAGTCCAAAATTGTTGATGATTGTCAAACCGCCCATGACACGTGATATAGAACTGTGTTAGCATTATTTTGTTAAAAATCTTCTTAAATGTTTTCCCACCAACAACTTTCTACATAGAATTCTGGAAGTCTTACAATATGAAAAAGGACATAAAATGAATTAGGGTCCATGGGAGTAAAGAATTGATTGTATGTATTCGTATATACTTAACATTTTTATCATATTATTGTATAACTGCAGGGTTGGAGTTTTAGCCATTTCTGTATATTAATATTAAGATATAATCCATGGCCTTACATGAGTAATGTAAAAGTTTGTATTGTAAATATATTGGCCTGAGGCATTAAATAAAGGTAATTAAAATTAAGAATGGTTGACGAAATCATACATTTATTTAATATAATTCGCAAGTGACTTTTTGACGAAATTGGAGAAATTCATTTAGCCAATCAAATCAAACGGTTTTCAATAACAATAACAATAATATAAATATTAAAAAAAGTAGTACATTCTTTATATGAAATAATTATATACTTTAAGGAGTTCAAACAATTTCAACAGCAATCATTTATTAAGGAGGGTAGCTTCAGCGATCTATATATAATTGATTTATTAATATTTTTTTATATAATCTTCCTACTAGGTAAATAATGCTTATATACACATATTGTACAAAACCCGATTTTGGCCAAGTAGTGGTTATGTCTGTCAGACCATATTCGACGGATAAGATTTTTTATTTTACAGACATTAATATTGATATTAATATTGATATTCAACGGATATCCGACAATTATACCAAGGAAAATAAAGTTAAAACTTAAAACCGACTATTTGTCTATTATTGAAATTCAAAGGACAAATAAGCTGATTGTGGAACAAAATTTACTTAGCATGCAAGGTATATTTATTTATGTAGCGTAAAAAAATGCAAAAACAACAAAAATGCGTCATGTTCGAACATTAGTTATCATCTAAGCGTAAAACAAGTCAATTATGTCATGAGTATCAGCTTTTACGTAATGTACAATATTGGTCATCGCACTTGAAACTAAAAACAAAGATGTGCTTATTTAGCGAATTTTAAAAGCCCAACGAATTCCAATTGGTTGTCCACTGAAATATATTTGACAGTAGAACAATCTTTACTTAAATGCGAGGCTCGTTTTTTTAAATATGAAATTCACAAGGAAAATTATTTTTTTATACGGATATCCGCATACCACCTAATATCCAGATTAAATTTATTTGAAGGCAAATATTCGGATATCTGACGGATATGACCACTATGGACAAGAAAGTCATGAATTCAGTTTTTGCTAGGAACCCCAAATCATTTTTTGGTGGCTATACTAATATTAATATTTGGCTATGCTTTTCATTTGATTATTGTAATTTGTCAAGCGTGACACAATTTGACGAAATAATTCCCTGTAAAGTATTTCGTCTGGTTAAAATTCTAGTGATGTCAGCTGGTAGAAAACCTTAGCCGGCCAAGAACCTTGATTTATTCACTAAAAAAATAATAGTTTGTACAAATCACTCGATTTGAATAGATTCAATGGTTGCATTAGAAACCTCTATATCATTGTCATGATAATCATCATTATTTATTAATCCATTCAAAATCTCTTTCATGATCAAAAAGTTCACCAAATGTATAAGTTAACTTGCGGAATGACCTTTAAAATTGCAAACCACATAACTTCCATAAACACATAAATATCTGTTAAATATTTATTTTAGCTTAAAGTCATAAATGCCTTATTAATATCTATACTGCGTGTATATGGTCTATGAAACTAATCCCTAGTTTTTATTTTATATATGTTTCAATAATAATGGAAAAAAAAAGAGAAAGGTAGGTAAATAAATGGGTCCAATCCATTTCATTGACAATCACTTCGTTGACACACATTTCGTCGACAGTTCATTTCGTCGACAGTCATTTCGTTGGCAGTTCATATGATTTTAATGTAACATACGCATTGATTATAATTATTACATGAATAATCTATACTCTAAAATTTTGAAATATTATGTGATCCACATGTTAGATTTTAAAAACCACCACCATTCAATTCGGCTTTAAAAAAAGGGATCTGTCAAAATTTTTTTTCGTGGATTTTTTTAAATTTGAGAATAATCTTCATATTACAATATTTTGAATTGCACTAGACATTTTTTGCATAACCGTACTACACAAATTTAATATGCTTTAGAGATGTGATCCATGGATGGTCAATCTGGATATCCATGAAAAAAATCTGTTAGTATTCGGATTGATGGATGGCTTTTTAAAAGACTGTTGGATTGTGGGATCAAAATTTTAGAAATTATTATTATAGGATAATTTGTATTGCTCCTTTACTTATTTGTAACATTGACAATGATAATGGTGATTATAATTATAGTGATAATGATAATGATAATGTGAGCCTATAGTCAAATCCTCATTTCAATGAATTTTATATTTAATATTAAATTGTACGATGGATAAATAGCAAGTACCAATTGCATTATAGAGAATTCACATGATATAAATTTAAAAAATAAAAAAGTAAAAGTGAACAACAGTATTAAAATTGTTTAATCAACGAACATTTGATCCAAATTTCCAAATAATAAAAAAAAGATGAATGCAAACAATAATAAAATTGTTAATTAAAGAATATTTGATCCAAACTTCCAAATAATAAAAAAGATGAATGTAAACAACAATAATAATAAAAAACAAAATAAAAAATAGAAATAAAATCATCTTATATATATATGGGGGAGAGAAAAATACCTCGTGATTTTTCAACACCTACTAGCGTAGACAAAGAATCGCTCTTTCTTTCCAAAGATAATTCATGTATAGCTTGTAAATATTGAGGAGTTTTTTCTGGAAAATCATAAATTCCTATATGATAAGCCCATTTCAAAATATCGTCTTCCATATCTGAAACACAACCAAGGATTGAATAGCCACTAGCTTGTGTTGAACATGTTATAGATACGGGATTGAAAGTAGACTGAGATGGGTCATTATGCCGTTTATCTTAACAATCCATTAAAAATTAGTTGAACTAAATTTCAATTAGAATTTAAAGCTACAAAAAAAAGAATTTAACATAAATTAACTTCATTACATTTTGTTCCAAGAATATTTGCCAACGTATCGTAAGGATTTAAATAATCACTTTTTTGAAAATTAGCTAAAAACGATATTTTTTTAAAAAAATATATTAATAATCAAGAATAACGTTATTATAAAAAAAGGATATACACTTACTAAATTCCATGTGTTGCATATCTAATTCTTCTTTTGCCTGTGAAATAATTCGTTTGCGACCTTTAAAAATGGCGTATTCGAATTGATTATTGTTTTTTTTGTACCCGATTTTTTCTAATAAAGCCTGGCTAGAGGAAAAATCTTTGTCAGAAGATGTTATAATTATGTTTGTAAGATCTCCGAGGATTGATTGATTGATTGAAAGAAAGAACGAAAACCAACCTCGCATTATCCCAGCCAATGTTTGTTTTATAAAAATCCCCGTGTATTCCTCCCATTGGCAATGGAGTCATATTCTCATTTATCGCGTTGTCAAGAAGTTGTCCAAGGGATACAATGGTACGATTGAAATCTGGTTGTGATTCATTTTCAGTGACGTTAGTCTTTGTCGAATAGTGCTGCCTTGATTTTTGTAATGCATCAAAAATCTGGATATCGATCAATGGTTCATCAATATCAACTTTTATAACAAAACTACATAAACAACAATGTGCATTTAAAGTACGAGAATCATCTGACATGGTTGTATGAAGATGATGTAACTTGTTTTCAAGATTTTTAATACAAGAGCCTGGCTCTGGATTCGATCGATTATTCAAATCAAGACTTTCAGGTAAATCAGCCTTGAGTCTAAACCATTTATGACACTTTTTACATATAAAAACAGTCATATCTTCTCTGTTAAAGCGTTTTGATAAAAGAAATTCATGAGGGTGGTTATATTCTCCTTGGTTATGACGTGTTAGAGAAACAAGCCAGGCAGGTGGTGTTTGTGGTTTTCCTCCCGAAAATTCAGATTTACGTGGAGGAAGAGCTGGTGGATTTTTTGAGTCTGACCACAATAGAATTTTGTGTGGGGTTTGTTTTAACGACCATCTTTTAGTTAGAGTACAACAAATAATATAAAAATTAAAATAAAAAAAA